ACACACCAAAAAAAAAAAAAAAAAAAAAAAAAAAAAAAAAAGAGAGATTTGTAAATTGCTCCCCCCCGCGGCCGAGTGAAGGAAATCTGCTCTCCCCCACGAGAGGGTGGTCGGATTCTGACGGCTCCTGCTCCCTCTCCCTCCCATTGCCGTACAGGAAACGTCGTCCAGGCGGCGAGAGCAGCCGGGATATGAGCTGCTGCATTCTGTCTTTGTTGGGTGTTTACTGCGCGCAAACTACTCGGGAGAGGTCCGCGTCCCTCGCGGAGTTCAAAAGGTTCAAAAAGGTTTATTACACCAGCACATAAATAACAAACACAAACATCCTTCTGTACTAGCAATAACGAATCTAGCAAAAGTTTTTCTCCAGTTCCTTTGCAAAACTTGACTTTAATACACTGGAGAGGGAAAGTGGCTGACTAGCAGTGTCAGGGAAGGTAAATGAACTAACCTCCAGCTTCTTCGTCTTCTTCTGACTCACTCTCGTATACTGGCATAATCTAGCAGGAGGAAAACTAGACACTAGAATGCTAGCGAAGTACGCAACCCCTGTTGAACTGTATGGCTGCATGACTTGTGCCTTGCGGCAGTTGTGTAAGCTCCCACTCCCCAAAGTTGAATAATAATGGATAATAATAATTTTACTGCCACTTTTGAGGTATTCGGGACAAGTGGTGGACACAACAGTTACTCCCACCTGATTTGGGACAGTTGACATGTATGTACTGCTGAAGAGTATGGCAGCATGCACAATGTGCCCAAGTGAGATTCCAAAATGACTGTCATAGTCACCAGATGTATTTCCCATTGGGCCCCACCTATATATATGGATGCATTTAGGACCCAACATGTGTGGTGTCTGGCTTGTGCCTCTTACCACTCCTGAATCCAGTAACACTCTTTCTCTGACTTGCTTAAACTCCACATACATGTCAAGAAACATCCCTCTCTCTCCGTTCTTGGTCCCCTCACACCAGCCATCATCATCATCATCCGGCTGGAGAGAGTGTATGTGCATTGTAGCCCTTCTGAAGTCTCTCTTTTTCTTTCTTTCTTTCTACATAATGTATATAGCGTGAGCTGTTCAGCCGCAGACCCCACCCCAAAGAGGATAGAGTTTGGTGACATTACTTCTTGATGGACCGATATTTTATGATCGTACACAAGTTATATATAATATAGTCACTCGCAAGTACACGTTACAGCACCTAGCTATTGAGCTATTGAGCTACTGATTCAGAACCAAGATTTCCGGCAACGAGACAAGCACAGGCCGTAAAACTCTTCTAGGAGGTATATACTGTAAGCCCACCGAGGGCCGATTGGCATCCTCTCTACTCTGCGTACCCGTGTGACATCGGTGATGAGATCTCCAACCTCCAAATTCAGTTCATCATCTTCCTGTTTCTTATAGTTAACCAACACAACCGCGTCCATCACTGTGACTTCACACACCCGATGCACTGGTATAATTGCGAGCTCGTTAGCGTGAGGCAACTAGTATAGGTAAGACGGCAGATTCGAGTGTCTTCGTGGTTCTAAAGCCGCGTGGGGGAGAGGTTGGAATGCGCAATAGTAACCGAGGCGGAGCCGAGGTTTATATTGCGTCATTCCAACAGACCACGCGGGCTGCAGAACCACGAAGGCACGAGAATTTGCCGTCTTAGTTGTTATAGCCGTACGGTTGGCTGTAGCTCTTAGTCTGGTGCCCAGACCCTTCAAAAAAAATAAGCGCACGCGCGTAAACGCATGCGCGAGAGCGGGAGAAGGGTCTGGTCAATAACTATGCCTAGCCTCTCCACGGGCCAAGGAATTTCAGTAACCACTTATCTCGAGTGGTTGCGGTTTACACCCAACTGCGATGAATATCATAATACTAACGCGCGTGCGCGCACACGCGTGCTTCTTTGATGGACGGTACTTGCAGAGCCTGCGGAGCAAGCCTGCTTGACTCAAAAGCTCGTAGACCCCTGCAAGGGCTATCGTACAGTGCACTGTTTGACATCATTTCAGCAACGAAGGAAGTTGGAGCAGGCGAGGTGCACACATTTCTTTCGTCTTCTACGAGCTACGTGTGCAAGCAGTGTAATTCTACTCTCTTGAAGTACGCAAGTATATGCGAGCATATCAAAAAGATCAAGGGAACAAAGGGAACAAGGCTTATCTATTATACAACCATCAAAATCGGAAAACAGGATTTCACGGCGACACACTTGGTCATTTTTACGACCATCTTAAGACACATAAACCTCTCATCCGCCTTTGAAAACAGCATTTGAAGTGAACCATCCCTCCCACTTCTACCTGTTTCTTGAATATATGATTCGATGTCATTTGAAGCACCCCAGTGAAAAATTTGTCTCACATCTGGGCAGTCTAACCCCATCCCAAACGCGATTGTTCCGATTATTATACGCAAAGTACCATCAGGCTTGGAAATTCATTGATAATATCTTCCTTTATCTTGACTTCTGTACATTTTGTATACATATCTACCAGCCTGTATTTCACCATATTTGGTGCACAGGAGGTTCGGTGAAGTCCTTGCCTAACAACTCTTCAAATGTACTGTACATTTGAGCACATCTTCCAGAAAACGATGGTCCTGGGCATGTTCACCCTAAGCCTTTTCAGAATACCTACAATGCTGCAAACAAAGTCGCCCAACTGAGGCTTAGGATGAACAGTGAAAACAACATTCCTTTTGTGGGGGGACATATTAACCACCACAGGATTTGTCACACGTAATGAGCAGATTATCTTCTCACGTGATGACTTTGTGGCTGTGGCAGTCAAGGCCATAACATGCACGGTTGGTGGAATTAATGCCCGCAGCTCCCCAACGTCCATAATCTGTTCTAAAATCATCACCCTACAGTGTGCAAAACAGCAATTATATAGGGATGTTCACACTTGGAGCTCACATGCCACATTGCTATGCAGTGGGCCTCGTCCACAATTAGCACAACCACTTTTTTCTGATACGCAGGAAGGAGAAGCATGTCACTCCACTGAGGGTTCGACAGCAGAGACTCTGGGCTAATAAAAATTAGCTGAGCATGCCCTTTCTGAATGCTAGTAATTGCCTCAATATCTTGTTGGAGTTCTCCAACAAACTCACAGCATATTCCCTTCGTACTGTGTTTTTCTCGTTGTTCTAACATCAGAAAAGTAAGAGGGGATATGCACAGAACTGTAGAGCCTCGAGCATCGAGTATGTAGTCGAACACAAAAGATAATAATACGAAGCAGTATGACTTGCGACTCACAAAAACGTCATTTCCAGTCACAAACGAACTTATTACATGGCACTCTAGTGACTGCAAACCAACTGCTTCAACAGCCTTGTCGATCGCTTGCTCTAGCTCCATTACTATAAAACGTGACGTTCCATTACACGCACACCTTATCCTCTGCGGTTAGTAATTACATACCAACACCTTTTCCAGCAATCCAGGCCCGTGGATGGAGAGGCCAGACCCTTCTCCCGCTCTCGATTATTTTTTGTGAAGGGTCTGGGCACCAGACTAGTAGCTCGTCCGCTTTCAACCTTGGTTGGTAGAAGAAAGCACCGGGGAGGAGAGTTCTCCCAAGCCGATACCGGGCGCAATCCACTATTGCGTCGATGCTGGTAAGTACTGACTATTAGCGGCGGCGCCTCAACTTTTCGACGGTAGCCCGGAGAGGCCTCCCGATTCCACACTGGGCACTGTGTCGACGATGACTGAGAATCACTGTTATTAGCAGCATCGCAACTGTTCGAGTCAGGGCTAGGTCTGAGCAGTCTCAGCTCGTGATCGTCGCTTCGGTCTGCGCGTAGTTAGAACTAAGCCACCTAACCGCAGGTATCTTAGACCTGCGTGTAGGTGTGTTAGCCCAAAATGGACCTCATTAGCTATTCATTTTCAAAGCATTTTCCGGGTCGTATTCTCGCGATGCGCGTACGTACGTGTCGGTCACGCGAATGTCAATTAGTCACGCTTAGGAATGTATATTTCCGCCGTGCGCGCGCAGATTCTTATATAGGAAGTCTGGCTTTTCGCGCGCATGCATGCATTCAGTCAGTAGAGCGCGCGCGCACGCGCGGGACTGTTTAGGCTCTAGCTAGCTATGGCAAAATATGCGCGTGCGCATTCCTAGTATAATATGGTGGACTGTGTGTGTTCCGGGCCCGTCTTGTTATGCTTCCGGAATTAAGTAGCCACACCCGAACATATAAGCGCATGCGCAATAAGTACATACGTATGCATAAACAGCAGTACACCCAAAAACACAAACAACTGCATGAGACACCCTTCTCAGTAATAATCTCTACCAGACTGTGCTAAAAAACTCATCTGCTAAACACATTATAGTCCCTGTTTGTATTATAAGATGGAGTTCACAGACATTGTGAGATGATGTTCCTGGCCGCCTCCTCCCAGCTATAGCCCAGCTCCAGTCTGGCACACAGACTGGGGTGGCGGGACTCAGTTTGGTTGAAATAGGCCACTGCCTTCTCCACTCCTCCTGCAAACTCTGAGTCAACTCTGTCACGTATGGCCAGTCTGTAAGAGGGCACAGTAGAGGGGAAATGAATAAGGTAGTATAGTATAATATGAGCCGGAAAATGGGATGGCTGTGACGTGAATATGTTTACAGGTTAATAAACATTATTAGAATGGTTTGACCTGTGCATGCAAGCAAGTCAATAATACCAATGTCTGTGGGTGTGCATTCTGCAGCATCACATGTCAGATACATATGGAGGAGATATCGTGCATTTGGGACAATGGTTGACCAACTTCATCAAAATGGCTCCTACAGTGCGTGTGAAGTACAAGGAGCATTAGTTTGTCAACTAAACTCAATTCTTGTTTGTTTCGCAGAATAAGTGTTACATAACATGCTAAGAATTAATAATTATTCTCAAGAAGCCTTGCTACCAACTTGCTGTTCCTTTAACAGATACCAGATGCGTAACTTACCTTGGAGAGAATGAGAGCGGGAACAAGTGTTCCAGTACTTTACTGAGGATCTTGAGTATGGTTAGTGTGGCAACAAGCCTCAGCAGGTCTGTGCACACTGATTGACCTGGGAAGGGGAGAGAGGTTCCTGTATTGCTACTGTAGAAACTATACAATAAAAGAGAAATTTTACACAGAGGGGAGGAAGAGGAAGGAAGAGAAGATGAAGATGGCCATCCTCACGACCGCTCTGAGCGCCGAGTTCATTCCCTGGGCGTCCTCCGCTCGTAAAGACAGCCAGGACAAAGAGAATCACAACATGTTCATGAATTGCTTTAAAACAAAACTTTGCAAAAAAACTTTGCATATGAACTCAGTCGGCACACTCAACCAAAACTAGCCGGAAAAAAAACCATGGTTCCAAAATATAAGGCACGTGTGCCTTACCGAGAGATTTGCATCCGGACTGTTCCAGAAGGTTCCTGACCCTCTCAGAGTCCAGCTGCAGCAGGTCGAGACAGTCCAGTTCCCAGTACCCCGTGTCGTGTTGGTTCTGGAACAGGCCCTCCAGCTGAGTCACCCTCACTTCCGGGTACCTCTCTTCCTTCCTCCTCCTCCCCTCCTGTGTAGAATACCAGAACTGGTAACTCTGCCTCAAACCGGCCGAATAAAAAGTTGGTGACTTGGTGGTGATTGTACATTCTGTAGCATATTACTGCTCGGTGCTAAAATTTAGCGATTTCAAGTACTACCAACTAAACTGCCGAATACACCACAAATAATGAGTTTTGCCAATTGGGATAAGGGACACGTTGAAACCATGAATTATAGAGAGGTGTCCCATTAGCACCAGGTTAACTTTATACAAGTGTCCTTTCTACCTATTTTACACTGTTTAAAAAAACTCACATCCAGTGATTGGGGCAAGAGAGTCAACTGATCCCCGAAAACTCTTCCTCCGAAAACCCTTCCCACAAAATCAGTGACCCGCTAGATGCCAAAGAGTTGTCACTCGACATGGCCTCCTGTGCGAAGTTGGCATTTAAACAGAAAAATTCATCTTCCAATGGACGGTGTTGTTTAGGAATCTTCTGCACGGCCTTCTGGAACGCAAAGGCCTGGACCTGAAGCGCTTCTGCTTTATCTTCAAGATTGTCCATTTTTTCTTCGCGATTTAGCAATTTGGAGATCTTTTCCTCGAGAGTCGACTTGGCCTGTTCAACTTGTTGCTGTTGGTTCTGCTGACGGTTCCTCTTTGATGAAGGTGCTGAGAGGGAAAAGAAGAGAATATAAGAGGAAGAAAAAGAAGGGTGATTATCATATTCTGCAGACTCATCAAGTGAAAAAGGGTCTGGTAACTTCTGACACATTTCTTGGTCCAAGATCTCTAAATCGAGATCTCCAATCAGATCGCAGAATGGCTAATCAATGTCATAGTTTTTAGATAGGGCCACATGTGCATTGCATAGTAGCATAGTAGTAGATGGGTTTTGATACTACGGACATGATGTCATTAGTGTACCAGGTCTTGCGTCAAAAGCTCACAGACCAGATGCTCCTTCTCCCGATTTTGATGTATCGCTGCGTACGAGACAAAGTATATTCACCTGAGAAACAAATAACTCCCACTTCCTCCACCTCCTCCTCCTCTGCCACCACCTCCTCCTCCTCAAATCTCTTCGCCAATTCTTTCTCATTTTCCTCACTATCACACAACATCACCATTCCTACTTCACTCGCTCCCTCCAGTGATGTAGTTATGGACCTCGTCTCTGCCACCACTCCCATTCCATCCATTGGGAGTGACCTTGCCAAAGAGACTGTGACACAGAAGGGAACATAGCAACACATTAATTTTTCCGCCAGCGAACTATAATTTTCAACTTCCTGCACGTGTGTATTTGGAATCACGCAAATCATTACTCTACGTACGTGTAGTGACAATGCCTCTCACATACACGCAGAAAAATCCCGGATTGAAACAAGTAGGAATATGCGCTTGCGTCGCTCAGCAATACGGATATTGCTAGTTACGAATGCATACAATAAAATTATTATGTGTGAGTATAACTTAGACTACACAACAATAAAGATTATCCAATTGTGTTTAAAAAAAGAGACTGAACTCAAAATGGAATCTTAGACACTTATAAAACAATTTCGCCCCGAATTCACAGTGATGCATTATTCGGGTGATCACAGTTGTGTGAGTCATCTTTATCTAGAAAATGGCACATTTTCGTTGTAGTGAAGTGACACATAAACGCTACTAGTACATGTCTATTTACATTAGAAACGTACACTCTGCATATATTGGTCCACTGCCTCCTCCATGCTGTCATCATCTGACCAATCACCATCGTCGTGCTGAATCCACCGTCAGTCAATGCTGAGATAATGGACCATGTACACACATGACATTTTGCTGGTCGTGGATTCGAATCCCACCTAGGACAGCTCTTATAAAAAAGAGCTGTCCTGGTGTAGTTGATTTGTTGTTGTGCCTCTGCCTTTCTACCTCGTAGTTTACACATGTATGTACATACATGTTGGTTGCCAGACACATAACTAGTAATTGACTAGTGAAGCGAGACACGAAACTAGTAATTGACGAGTGAAGCGAGACACGAAACTAGTAATTGACTAGTGAAGCGAGACACGAAACTAGTAATTGACTAGTGAAACGAGACACGAAACTAGTAATTGACTAGTGAAGCGAGACACGAAACTAGTAATTGACGAGTGAAGCGAGACACACTATATAGTCGGCTGAATTACTGTGCACCCAATATCTCCCTACTGACAACGTGAACATCTCACGGAGCAGTTAACAGGTCGCACTCTATCAGTCTTACTTCCGTTCGCTTCCCTAAAGTTAGTATATTGGTGAGCAAACGCGAGTTCGAAATTTCAGCAGTTTTTACGTGTAATTAGAGTAAGGCATTACGGTATGAACAGTGCCTTGTCCACATAGTATATAAGTTGTGCAATTCAAGCATAGGTATAATATGTAGGCTCGCACTGCTTGTCAATTAATACGTGAACACTAACAGTGGTAAACGGCCAACATACAGTGAGAAAGTGACACTATGAAAGAGGGAGGACATGAAATGCAAAACCTGCTGATCTCGGAAAGAAGGACGTCAGAAATCTCTTCAGCTGGTGGTGGTGATGGTTTCGGTGCAGCCAATGCTTTCTGTTTGGGGAGCCAAGGAAAAATGACATGAAGATTTTAAAACACTTTTCCTCCATCATCCAATTTTAAGCACAATATTCCGTAACATAATATAGGAGAGGTGTGTAACTCATTGTACATGTGTTTAAAGGGAATGTGTTGTAGCTAGTATGTATAGGTAAAAATTACTGAAAATGGAATCTCAATTGCATTCTTGTTCAGTTCTATGTTTAGTAACATTTAAAAATCTATCCCTTATGTACTGACTCATTCCTTTAAAGGGTTTACACTACCACTTGCTTGCCTGCAGTTTCACTCCAGACTTGATAGAGGACAGCAAACCGCCCCTTCCTCCCACTCCTCCTCCCGGTGCTGGCTGAGGTTCTGCAAGTTCTGGTACGAAACGAACGTGGAGCAACAGGAGGAGCAAACTTCTTGCTTGCCAATGTAGCAGAGGAAGAAGGAGGAGGAGGAGGGAGAGGGGGAGAGGGGCTGCAGCAACTTTTTCCTTCAACGCTTGGCGAGAAAAGAAGAGCGTCCTGTAGTCTTGTCGCTGACAGGCTGTCGCCTTGGCCCCCTAACGAAAGGCATGCTTGATAGTCGGGGCTCTTCATCATCGGAAGTTTCTATTTCATCTTGAGGAAGAAAACATTTGCCCGTGCACGCATGATGCCTCGAAACAACTGACGAGGTGGGGCCGGGGGTGGGGGACCACCAGGTGCAATTTTTGGTGCCTCAGGGGGTTGGGGCGGTGCACCACCGGGCAGTGGAGGGGTGGAGGTGCGACGCAGGCATCGGTGCTCTAGGGGGTGGGGGTCCACCGAATGTTGGAGTGACCACCACGTGTGGAGTGTATGCCACCATAACAAATGCAGCGGAATAAGTGGGCGTGGGCATCATAACAAATGAGATCAGGGGGTGGGGGTGGGGGACCACAGGCTGCTGCAGTAGGTGGATCCTGAAACTCATAGAATCGACACTGGGTCCAGGTGGAGGACATCGAACTTGAGGGGATCTCCTCCTTGTCAGAGATGGCATCCTGAGACTCATAGAAACGACACTGGTCCAGGTGGAGGACTCGAACTGGAGAACGGAAGATTCCCTCCTTCCCGGAGGTGCCATGGTGGGCAGCAGCGTCTGATGCATGAGATTGCAGAATACATTTCGGTGATGCTCTCGAAAATGATCGTCCTCTCTCCTATTTATCCACCTCGGGAGAAGTTAGGCCTCTTCGCAGCATCTATTGTTAGACAGTAGGTATAGAGGCAAGTTAGTAGTAGAGATGAGAGAGGTTGAGACTGCTCCGACCCGCACTCGGTAGGTATACCAGATCGGTGTAACGGGAAATGTGAACTCCCCAGCTGCTCTCACTACGCCATCGTGTGTCGCCATGCAACCGTTATATAGCCCTCACTTAGACGTATATACCACTGTATGGTGCAGGTTCTGCTGTATGTATGCCGTCACAGTCAGACAAGGATGTGAGAGTAGATACCCCTCGATTTCTGCTGGTGTAGGGAAGAATGGAGCGCTACTAAGTCATACAACTCTTCTCTTCTTCTTCAGGGGAGGAGAGTGGAAGAGGTTTTTCAATAGAACGGAGCTCTGAGATAGTCGGGTGGCGCACTTCGTGGAACATGCTGTGGGGGACGGCAGCTGAGAAGAGTTTCCCCATAGCACAGCTAAAATCATATATTCGTGCGACTCTGTCGCGATTCTGTTGAGATACAATATAATCAGTTTGGATTTGAAAGAAAACATGATACAATGACAAGTCATGCATATGATCAGTGTTGAAAGCGGGGTTCAACATATTGCACTAATGTGCACGTGCGCACTGCCACATGCACCACCATGGCGAGGAGGATAGAAATGGCGTGCATCCTATGCGCCTAGCGCCTGCGCCTGCACCATG